TATATATATCTAATGAATATAGTCGGTCAGATCTTTGAGTCGTTTCAACTTTCATAGTCCCGCCCTCGAAACAGGAAATTAGTTGCCGACAGGCGGTTCGAATTATACATTTCTCGGGAGAACCGGTAAGAAAGTAAGAATTTTTTTTTTTTTTATCTTTCTATCTTTCAATTTTCCTTCATTGGCAATCAATAATCATCAATAATCATCAAAGGAAAATCGTATCCATTTACACAAAATCTAATTGCAGGTATCGTGATCAAAAAATTTTATTAATTTTTATCTCGGTATATACTTCCACTTTACTTTGCTTATATTCTAACCCACAGTAAGTTTCTTTTTATGCAAGCTTTCTAAGAGGGGAGAAGTCGTCGACGTGTCCCCTCGACAGCTGCCACCACTGTAAGATCCGGTTCACACGACTCTCCTCGCTTATTCCTTTTTTCTTTCTTCTTTTTACATTTTTATAAGGGCTTTCTGAAAATTATATTTTGCTGATGTATCGAAGAAAGAAAATTTGAGAAAATTTGATGGGAAGATTTATAAAGTAATAAGATAATTTAATTATTCGTTATTATAACGATATGGAATAATGGAATAAATAATGAAATGAATAATGAAATAAATTTGATTTTTAGAAGAAGTGTAAAAGAGTCATCACATACGGAGACTTTTTTGTAGAAGAGCACTTATCAAGGACGTTCAATTTGCAATACATTCACATGGGGACAGTGTTAGTAGAAGTCAGTAAACAGGAAAACACTGTGAGCATTCATTCCTCTCTACTGACCCATATTCGCAGAAGTCGCTTATCTTTTCTTCTGCTTCTTTTCTATACTCTCAAACAATCAACCATAAGTCACACCATGCCTCGTTAATCTGTCATTTTTCGTTGTTCAGGCTCGTACAGACAAGTTTCTTCACCTTGCAACATATCAAACTTCATTTAAAAATCAAAATAATCTTGAATTGATGAGATTCTTTGACAGTATTCGATTCAAAGAAATGAATATATACTGGTATTAGGAAACATCATGTCATATTGTCAGATGTCTCTAAATATTATTTTTTTTTTTACATTCTCAAAGAAAACCTTAAGGTAAAATAAAATATTTAAACATAAAAAGAATTAATGAAATTAAATAATAAAAATAAAAATGTTTTAATTATTCAACTTCTCTTTTAACAAATGGAATGATATTTTATTGTATTATACTTATAAGTAAATATTGGTTAAAGTTTATTAAATTTATTGGTTAAATTTTATAAAAAATACTTTTGATTATATAAATTCATTGCAAGGTTGGTTATTAAACAAAATTGAGCAGTAAGGAAAGAAAAGGAAGTAATTGGATTGAATTCATTCATGGTTTATATTTTGATAATATTCAAATAATATTTATCAGGGATATCGAATAAACATGATAAAAAGAATCGAAAAAAATGATTCGATCGTGAGAAGTTAAGTTTTTTCAAAAACGTGAATGAATGCAGATTACTTGATCGATCTTTTTAATTTTTTAAATAAAATATAAGAATATTAATAATTTTTAATTATATGTCGTTTTTTTTTTTTCATTTTTATGATCATATAATATGATAATATAATAATAAAATTATTTTTTACGAAGAACTATAAAAGAAATACTCTTAATATTAAAATTAACTAAATATTAATATTTAAATTAAAGTTCATATTTATATATAATATATATAAATATATAATATATATAATATATAAATAAATATATAATATATAATATACAATATTTAAATTAAAATTCATATCTATAATATTGGGTTATTCGGAAAATAATTTTGTTTTTTTTCGTGTGAAAAACGAAATTACTTTCCGAACAACCCAATATCATATTTATAGAAATAAAGTTATGGTAATATTAAAAGAACGGACAGTCGTATATTATCATTTTTCTTAACAGATTTCAGAGACCATCAGTCCATTGTTTTTCTCTGTTCTGTTGAAAGATGATCGATTTATAAAGTCAGATCGAAGAGAAGTGTCAGGTTGGAACGCCGTATAAAGAGTATACATGGAGCTCAGGTCAATGTCGAAACGACCACCACCTTATACACATGTCGATAGACATAAGTTTATGAATTCGCAAAATATCTCCACGACGAAAAAACAGAATGGTTCTCTACAATTACTTCATAATATTTCTTTTTTAGAATTTATTTCAGAGATATGTCTTCTTTATAATATATTTTATATTATTTTTACAATTTTATTTTCACAACATTTTTTTTTCACAATGTTCTTCAGATATTTTTTTTGCATCTGCATTAATATGAAAATTAAAAAAATCTGCATTAATTGAAATTTAAGGTTTAAGAAAGGTCAAATTCGAAGAACAAGATGATTCACCACCAGTAATAGTTAAGGATGAATGTACTAAGTTTTCAAAATGTAAATTATTTATCTATTCCATTTGTGCGCTCCTGATATTCTTCATATGTATTATTTGGATTTTTCTGGTGTTCCCTTATCCTATGCATGCTTCTTGCATTATAAAATGGTATTTTGATTTTTATTATTCATATATTCATATTCATATTCACTATTAATAATTTCTATTTGAAATCTTATTGTGATATATAAAGTTATTTTATTTTATTTTATTTTTTATGAATTTTTTCTTTATTTGATTAATTTTTATGATTGATTAACATTTTATTCTTTTATCATTTATATTCTTAAAAACTTAGGAAAAATATTTTAAGATAAGATCCATTTTGCAACAATTTTGTGCATAAAGAAATTCAATATGTATTGACCAGCAATAGTGAAGCTCGTATATTTTTCTTTGGCTAGACGACACCGCTTGAAAAATATACGAGCCACACTTTTCAAGCATATGAGAACGTCGCTTGTGTTATTTCGGTTCTCCCCTTTGAACTTCCATGCTGCCAAAAGACGATAATAAATTTTCATGAATAAAACAGTTAATTTGGAATTAAATATATCTTATCCTTATTTCCATAGACAATCGTGATAATTTCTTTATTATTTTCTAATAACTTTTTATTATTTTTTATATTAAAAAAATATATATTGTAATTTATTTTCTTTTTTATAATAGGAAGTTTGAAGATCCTTGCATATATGTCATGCAGAAATTTCGATCTCAAATACTTAATTGGTCATCCTGCATGAATTGTGGACCACGTGGAAGTAAATGTCTGTACACGGTAAGAAAAGCAATTCTAATTTATGAAAATTTTGAATAATTTTAGTTTCTTTTTAATATATTTAATATTTTTTTAAATTAATAATTTTATTTAATACTTTAAGATTTTTAAAGATTTTTTTAATTATTTAATTTTCATTCTCTAGCTCAAAGAACCAAATCCAAATGAAAGTAATATAATTAGAGCTACACATCTTGCTTCAAATTTAAGAACTACGGAAACGATGAAAATTGATTTCGAACAAATTAACAAAACTTGTATAGCAACGGTATGTCTAACTTTTTAAATAATGAGTAAATAATAATTTCTTATTAAACTTCATTATTTTTTTACTACTAGGGAGAATCCACATCAAATGAATGGTTTAGAGTATTTGATTATGGTACAAATTACTGTAATTTGCATAATTTAATAACCGGCATTGGTTTTGATAAAAGTTTGAAATTTTTGGAACTAACAAGCAATACAGTTTGCACACAATATAATATGGCGGTTTGTAATTAAAAAAATTATTTTGATTTTTCTTTATTATTTATAAAACATTTTAATTTAATTATATTTGTTAACAATTTTAAATAAAATTACAAATAGGTTGTAATATTTTTATTGTTATTAATAATCATAATGCGAGGATTTACAAAAATAAATTACAATTAAGTATTATGAACTTACAAAATATATGTTTTTCTTAACAATCTGTGATAACGAATACAAAATATGTTGGAAAATACATCACATATTAATAATTATTTTTATTATACAATTCTTATTGAGTCTTTATTTTAAAATAAGTACTAATTACAAAATTCAAATATATACAATATTATCTACAAATTACAATATTTGTTAGAGAGCAAAAGTTATAAATATTTCAAAGGCACTATATAAGTCATTTATAGAATTCAAGACTTATAATTAATAGAACAATCTCTTACTTTTTAGCAATCTCTTAACTTTTTAACTTAATTATCTAACAATATTGTGCTTTGTTTCAAATCAGATCAACTTTTAATAGAAAAATATTCCTAATTACAAAGGAAAAGATTTAAATATCTAAGAAATTTAAAAAATAAAATTTCGTATATGTATAGAGTGAGAAATCTGTAATATACAAATTTTTTTCACTTGTAAATGTTTTTAAAAGATGAAATCATTAAAATGAACTTATAATTTTCTTTCTTATGGAATTAGTTTCTTATAAAATATAATGAGATATATAAAAGATAAATTTTTAAATATCTATCATACAATTTTTAAATATATAAGATAAATTTTTAAATATTTATCACACAATTTTTAAATATAAAATAAATTTGTAAATATCCACCACCACTATATAAAATTAAATATTTTGATTATCACATACTAAAATAAATTCTTTTCTTGTTATTTTATTTTATAATTATTAAAAAATTTTTCAATCACCCATAATTGAGCTTCCAAGAGAATGTCTATTACAATACATTTGTCCATTTATTGCACGTAATCGACATCTTTTGCCACTTCTTGTTATAGCATTACATATTCTTGAAGTATATGATGGAGTAACACTAAAACAAAATAATTATTGAATTCTTTAATAAAATAAATTATTATATATTGTATATTATTATATATATTAAAATTCACATACCTTCTGGAAGGCGACTGTTGATGAGAATAAGAAGATCTGTTTGTAAGACTTTCCAATTTTCTTAATCTTTGTCTAAGATCATTAGCATCGATTAAATTTTCGTAATCATCAACGCTTCTATTTCTTTCGTCTATCAAATTCGAATTTTCATAATCTTCAGTGACATCTTCAGACATACTTGGATATTCTTGTTCATAATTGTGAATAAGGTCTTCTCGATTTTTTTTCGAGGATATATACGAACAAGATAATTCTTCGCTTTGCACAAAACTTGGTTTGCTCCATGAAGCTACTGTCTGCACCAACGAACTAAATTTCTCTAAAAATTATAATTAATTTTAATTATTATACAAGAAAATTATATTATAAATAATTTTTTTAACTTACCAATACAGTGATTTATTTGGTAGCGCACAAAAATGTAAAATTTCCAAGTATTTTTTTTTAGATTTGTGTAGAAAGATATTGAAGGAGTACATGATGATTGGAGATTAGAGTAAGAAGAAATATATTCGCGTGTTATACCATTTACATGACCATTTTGATTAATGATTTGATTTGATTCTGATTTTTTTATATTTTTTGGACCACATATACGTTGAATTCCAACCATCATAAAGTGCACTAAAAATTAAAATAATATTAATAATAATAAGACTTTAAAATGTTCAATAAATTTATACATATTTTTTCTACATGATACATACTCATCGTAATTAAGAATATCAATACACTCATTGATACAAAATCCAAACAAGCATCCATACCATGTTTTAAGAAAGATAACAAATTTAATGGTACAATCCCCATAATAGTGATTCTAGTTAGCAATGGTGCATGAAGAAATGCAGCAATCACCATAGCAAATAATAAATAAATAATGTGTAAACCTACACGATATATTCGATGCATTTGTTCTCCTGAAAATTAAGAAAATTATTTAGTTTTCTTATTATCAATATTATATCATATATTTTTTTCAATTTATAATTGAAAAAAAGTATTACCACTGTCGCCTATATATTTAGTTAACCAATTAAGTTTTTGATCCATTTCTGCACGCATATTGTTTGTTATATCCCAAATATATTGAATAGTATTATTAATTTGACTTAATTTTTGCAAAGTTTGTTCATATTGGACAAGTACTTCTTCATGTTGTGTAAAAATTCGATTTGTGCTAGATTCTATTTTATCCCAAATCAAGTGTGCTTGTTCTTGAATATTCATTAAATCCTCAAGTATTTCCTTATGATTTTGATTACGTTCGATAGCTTGTTCCTCTAAATTTTTATTTGCTTCCTCTAAAAAATTCAGTTAATAAAATAATCAATAATCACAAATATTTTTTACCTCCATTTGTTAAATTAATTACCTAATTTTTTTCTAATATCATTGGCCATTGTTGCAAGTTGTGCGTGACCAGATCGAATCAAAGCTTTTTCGTTATTCAATTCTCTTAGATTTGTTGTCACAAGATTATGAGCCGATGCTTGTGCGTCTTTTAAATATTTTTGTTGTTCTAATAATGCTTTATTGCCTTTTGACAATGATTCTAAAGCTTCTACAGTTTGTTCTTCTAAACGATCCTGACTTTCCTGAATTAATATATAAAACAATAGCAAAATATCAAATAATAAAATAATATAATAAAATAATAAAAATAATATAATTCATTTTAGATACTTACTTTCAAAGAACTCAATGTTTTGATTTGTGTATGAGCAGTTTGCATTAATTTGTTCACAGTTAATTCTGAAAGAGCACGGAATTGAGCACTACGTGCTGCATAACAAACTGCTCTAGCTCTGTTACTCATTAAATGATATGCATTCCACATATCTGCATCCATATCTGTGGTACATTGTTTTAGAGACTATAAAAAATATAAATACACTCATTTTATAATTTTTCACAAAATAAATATTTCTCTAATATTTTTTATTGTTTTAAATTTTTATATTAAAAAATCTTTTGATGAAATATTAATTTTTTTAAAATATATAATAATCAATTGATCAATTCATGTTCTTGAGAAGATTTTATATTATGAAACTAAACTAGAAATCTCAGTGGTGGCCTATATGCTATAAGTGGGGGAAGTTGCAGGTTTGAACATGCTTCAACTACCCTTCCACATGTTATTTCATATACAATGCATTAAAGTATAGTGTATATTTAGATGTTTGATATCATTTAAAGTTTAAACTTTTGTTTAATACAATGTATTAAAAATTAACAAAATAAAAATTTATAAAAGTTACACATTTAAAATTTTAAATTATAAAACAATTGGAATTTTTAAAATTTATAATATATAAAAATGTGTTTGAAATATGTATATAATTAATATAAAAACCTGGAAATTTATTACAAAAAAATAATTAAATTTTACCATTTCATCAGTACATGGAAATATTTTTCTGCCTTCTACTGCAGATTGACAATTTAAAAGATTAACACTCAATTTGGCAAGTTGTTCTTCTGTCATTTCAGAACATGAGGTTTTTATTTTCATAATGACTTTGTGTTGGCAAGTTTCTAAAGGTGATGATACTTGAATCTCTGTAAATTTTGCAGCTTCCTGAAGGAATTTTTCATCCTCAGTCATAGATTCATATGGTATTGAAAGTAATGGAATACCATCAGCTATCACACTAGTTTCATCTGAACCTTTATTCCAAAACCAGCCGAATATTGAGGCATAACCACTTTGATAAAATAATGATATAATATAATAAATTAATAAATATTGTATCTGTGCCATTTTATATCAGCTTTTCTAAAAATATAATAAAAAAATAAAACAATTTATATTATTTATTTAATTATCTTGAATGAAATCAAATTTAAATTGTTTAAAATAAAAGTTAAAAAAATCACCTTTTAAATGTTAAATAATTTAATGATGAATTGAATAAAAATGATTAATAAGTAAAAATTTAATAAGACTGCATAATTAATTTTTTTATAATATGTTGTAAAAAAAATTAAATCTTATATTAAAAGAAAGTTATTTGTAAAATCACTTTCACTGGTCAATGACAATAAGATATTTTTATAACATACAAAATTTTATTAATGATATCATAAACTTTATATTATTAGTAGATGATGAATAAAAATAACTATTTCACAAATAAAATTTGGTGACAAGTGTTTATTTTGTCTCACACACAATAGCATTTCATAACGGTCATAGCGCTATAACACAATGGCGGAAAAATTCGAAAGAGAAATTTTATTTTAAATTTTTCAAATTTTTATCAATTTTATTTTAATATGAAGAATAATAAATTTATTTTAATTTATTATAATGATTTAAATAATTTTTTTACAAATTTATATTAAATCTTTTAATTCTAATAATAAATTTCATAAAATAAATATGAGTTTAAATGATTTAAATTTTTTATAGAATATAATTGAAACGTACCTATCAAAAGTCTTCTTTTCGTTATATCTTAGGCAGTTCTTTAAATGAACCAATCAGAATGCTTTTCAGTTAATGACCACTTGCGCAGATTAGCTGCGTCATAAATTCGACAGCGCGAATGTGTTTTTACATTTATCCAAAAATAATATTTTTTAAAATTTGTTAGAAAATAATGTTCAAAGTGTATGGTAGAAGAACTTCCAAGTATGTTTTTGTATTGTATTGTATTTTTTGTATTGTTCCTTAATAAATAAGAAATATAAATTTTAATAATTTAATAAATAACTTGTGCATAAAATAGTATGAATATTTTGTAAATATGCATAACTAACTTTAAAATTTGATTAGTATTATCAGACAAAAAAGAAGAAATAATGAATTAATTTTTTATAATTTTCAAAAATATAAAGCATTTTGATAAATTAAAACATATATTTTTATGTATAAATTTTCTACATATTATATGTGGCAAATAGTTATAGAAATTAAATCATTTATGAACTATCTTTGTTCATTTTAATGATTATTTTCAAATTAATTATTATTTTATTTTCATAATTCATATTATTTTAAAAAAATTGAATATGCAAAAAAAAATTCTAAATTTTATTGTTTAAATTGGGGTTGAAAATTATAAATAATATGCACTTTTTTCATTTTTATATATTTACAAGATATAATTTACATATAAATCGTTTTTTAATAAAAAATTAATACTGTTTTATTTTTTTTCTGGAAGTACTTCGCTAATTCCGTACATTCCCGCTAATAATCTTCCATGTGATGTTGGAACGGGTTCTTTTGGCGCTAAATATGGTCCTTTCTCATCCATATATACATATCTAAATTTTTATTAAGAATTTTTAATATTAATTTTTTTTACAAATTGTATTATAAATTTTATATTTCAAATTTTGATATCAAAAGAAATTTTTAAATTTAAATATTTATAATTTTTATTTTTCAAATATTCATAAGTATAGCAAATTATATAAATTAATTTTAAAAGGATACGGTAATCTTAAGACCCAGTAGGCACTTTGCGACAATTTTATTGGTTCGTCACAACCAGTAATAAAAATTGGACAAGGTGGGGGTCCAGGTTGTACCCTAGGATTTAATGTAACATGAACAGGTGCTTTTGGTGTTACTACATGAATTCTCATTAATTGAGCAATTAAAGGTTTTGTTTGTCTAAAATAAAATTTAATTTCATATTAATTTTATTTTTAAATATTCATGTTTATTTTTAAATTTTTAATGTTCACATACCTGCAAGGACATGGAAAATAAAGTGGCATATCCGCAGTACTGGATGTAACTTTATTTCCACTATCTTTTACAATTCCATTTCCGGTAGCTTTCAAAACTTTATCTGGCGCAGATGCCATGAACCTATGTCCTCGCGGACATTCGTATTCTACTCCTACAAATATTTTCACTACAAATTCTTTTCCACCCTTTGATTTTCGACTACGTATAGTATTCATATTCTGAAAATTCTTTCCTCTGGGACAATAGCCATGAGATCCATGATCACTTATAGTCGGCCACAAAGAACCTCTCTCTTTCTGATGTTCTAATCTATAAGAAAAAATTTAATAAATAAGTAATTAAAACTTTAATAAATAAGTAATTTGTTTTAAATTTAATTACCTTACTGTAACATCCCAAGGTAAAAGAAAGGCAGAAGTAGATAAAACACCAGCTTGATGTTGTAAACCCAAATTGTGAGAATATAAACTACTTGGACCAAGACAAACTAAAGACCAACTGGAAAATTGTGGCAATAAACCAGCTGGTGATTCTGTATGTAACATTCCTGGTAGATATTCCGTTGTTGAAGGTTGCCTGACCAAAGATTTCTCTACAGAATTTAAAATTTGAAATTTATTTTCAACATACGATATTATAATTAATCTTATGTTAAAATTACCTTTTGCGTTTTCTGCATCACTATCCGATACTTCGATAACAACTTTATGCGCATCGCTAGGTGTTAAGCTAGTTTTACTACTAAGTTTAGGAACATCTTCGTTAGTTTCGCTTGTTGGAGGTGATTGACCTCCACTTCCATATGGTGTTCGAATATCATCTGAAAAAATATAAAAAAAATCCTCTCAAATTTAAAAGATGATAATACGATGATAATAAAAGTACCATTTAAAGTATTAACTCCTAAGCTACAAGCCTGAGTATTTCCTTGAGATGACTCTCCATGACTAAAAGAATCTTTTCGTTTAGTAGAAAACAATTGTGCTGGTCTGTAATAAAGATTTTTTAAAATTAAAAACTATTACTCTAATTTTTAAAAATATAAAAAATAATATTTTACCTGTAATTATGTGTGCTTGGTTGGAAAACTGGAAATTGTATGTTCTCCAATTGTGCACAGCCACATTGTTTGGCTAATATTTGAAAGTAATCATAATTGGCTTGTCTTAAACTAAATGGATCTTCTCTTGAACCTTGACACCGACCACAATTACAAGCACAAATATATCGAACGCCACTGCAATGTTCTCTGATTGGTAAATCACTATAAAATAAAAAAATGTCATATAGAATTAGGTGTAATGAAAAATAATACTTTTCAAATAATACATACTTATCGTTATCTCTTTGTTCTGCCTGTTCTCCTCCACCAGCACCTTCACTTCCACCTCTATGTATTGGATTCGTACAAGGATTCCCTGTCAAAGACAATACTTCACACATCTGCCTACCAGATCTCCAATGTTTTTCGCATTCAGTCTGTAACTTTTCACTGAACTCTTCAAATAGAGGACCTCTTGCATGCATCTCAAAAACTGCCATTGCATGAGCTAGTTTTGTCTCATGATATGTTCTAATATAAATATTGATAAAATTATTTTATGTAAATTTTTTGTAGAAAATCTCAATTAATTTCAATTTATACCTTGTATAATGTTGAGGTAGATTTTCTTGATAAGTCTGAAGAGCTCGTGGAAGTACTTTACTACATCTGCTTTTACTGAATTTTACATCAGTATCTAATAAGCTATGCAAAGTTAGTAATTCTTTATCTGTTCCATGAATGAAATAATCATATATTTTGTTCGCTACTTCGCAGAATATTGTGACATTAGGTATCTAATAAGGAAATTAGATTATTAGTTAATTAAATGTTAATTTTTTTTTTATTGTGAATCTTACCTCAAAATAGGCAGGTATAGAATGTCTTCCAACATTATCGTCGAAACCTCTCGCAAAAGCTAAGTTTATGTGCTGTTGTAGAAATGATCTAAAGGAACGAATTTCTACAAAAATATAAGTTATTATTATTTTGATATACATACATACATTTGATTTAATGATTTACACACCAGTATCTGTATTATCTATTTGAATATTGGAATCTTGACTTGCTAAACTTCTAGAAGTACTTCCTCCAGAACTAACTTTGCAACTTTGTATGAGTTTTCTTGCCATATAACCCAAAATATCTTTGGACTCAGTTGTACCCGTATGTACATAAACAAATTCTTGGTTTGCAGGAATTGCAAACAATGAATTTGAACTGAAAATTAATTTACATATTTTTTTCTTTTACATATATTTTTTTTTTTACATATTTTTTTTTTTACATATATTTTATCAAATTAAACAATTTTAAAATTTTATATTCTAGATTTTAATACCTAATATTAGTTACTATACGGTTTTTTCTCAATACTTGATATATTTGATCTTCCAAAGAATGTTCTAATTTTTTAATATTAGCTCCACTAGTAGGATCTTGAAATACTGCAGGACAAGTTTCAAAATAAAATAAAACTCGCGGAGAGCAGGGTCTTACATTTGATATCCAATCTTTAGGTAAACTATAGATACAACTTAAGACATCAGAAAGTTGTGGTGAAACTTTTTGTCTGAAAATTGATAAAAAATTTTATTTATGAAATCATAGAATAATATATTTTTAAAAATAAATATATACCTTACAATATCCATAGCTCGGAATAAGTGTACATAACTATAATCAAATGTATGAGTTGGATGAGTAAGAATAATAACATGTGATATATGAAACAAAACAAGTAATGCTCTTGCATATTTATCTCTCATATGTGCCCATATACTAAGAAAATCTTTACAGTCTTGTTGTTCTATAAATTTATCGTATTCCATTAAAAGAGTATGAGTATCTAATAATCCTCTTAAATGTAAATATATAGTTCTATCTTTAGAATCATAATATCCTTCAATCTCACACTAGAAGTAATATAATTTATATTATTTTTATATTTAATTTATTTTAGAAATTTTAATATATTTTTGAATATATTATTTCTTACAAATGATTCTTTATCCACTTCTGGTTCATCTAGGAGGCTCACTTGTAGAATGGAACTGAGCATATTGGTTTTACATCCTTTTGCATAATATTGTGATTTTCCAAATACAGATACGATCACTACTTTTTTATCCGTGTGTACAAAACTAAAAATATTATTGAAAATTTTTATTAAAATTTAAAAAAAAATACTTATTTTTTTTAAAACTATATAACAATTAAAATATTAAGAAAGAGATATTATAACATTAATTGTTATTGCTGATTAATATATTTACAAATCAATTAAATTGTTATTAAATTTAAGAATTTTATATATATTAAAAAAAATATTTTTTTCATGCAATTACCTTTCTATATTACATGGAAGTCGAAATTTTTGCGGTCGCATTATATATTTGTTTTGGTGATACAAAGGTTATGTTATTGCATGCTATGTGTTAAATATTATAGCTCTATACTTTTCAGTATATAGGAAAATTATAAATTATGAAATAATATTAAAAAGTTGTAAAAAATTATATATTATTATAATTATATTTATTTATTTTATTTTATAAAATTTATTTTTGATAATTTATTTTTCTAAATAAGTTTATTTAAAAAATTTTAACATTTAATAATTATTTGAAAAATAATTATTTGAAAAATCTTATTACAAAATGAACTTAAATTGATTAAGAGAAAAAATCTTTAATTATCGTTATAAGTAAATAATTTATGTAGTTGGGATTTTTTGTTTATAAGTCTTCTAGTTATATTATTATTTAACTAAAATGTCAAACTTTATTATCGATTTAAGAAAAAGAGACGGACTTCATTCAATTCGATTGTTTATTGCTTCATTGCCTTCAGATAGTGAAGTTACTATTTAGATGACAATTTCAGTTATACATTATTCATTAACTAAGAAAAAAAACTATAATTTCATAAGAACTACTAGTTTTATGCAAATTTAAAAATTGTAAAACTTTGTAAGATTTTCGTTTCAAATATGGTATTAACGAAGGAATATCGTATATGCATGCCTCTTACCACAGAAGAGGTAATTCATCCTTTTTAAATTTGTAATGTTTATTGTTGTTATAATTTTTAATAATTCCCTTTTTTCACAAACAATTATTACAATTTCATTAAGAATTTTCAATTGTAATTATTCACTTCGTCAGTTAATATATTTTCAAGATTTTTAAATACAGTTTGAACTTTCATTTTATTGAATTAAGGAATAATTTCAATCTTTCTTATAGTATCGCATAGGACAGTTATATATGATTGCCAGACATAGTCATGAGCAATCTGATAATGATGAAGGTGTTGAGGTAGTTGAAAACATAGAATGTGATCATCCAGAACATGGAAAAGGTCAATTTACAGAAAAAAGAATTCATTTATCTAGGTAATAATTATGATATCATTTATTCTTTTTATATTTAAGTTTTTCATTAAAAGATGACTTATTTTCTACTATATTATATTATAGTAAATTACCATATTGGGTTCAATCGATCATTCCACGAATATTTTATGTCACAGAGAAAGCTTGGAATTATTATCCTTTTACTATCACAGGTATATTAGGTATTAATAGAATTCATAAATATATGTTTCTGTTTAATAATATTTCATTTTTATTTCATGTTATTTATGGTCTATCAAGAATATACTGTAAGTATCTATTTGTTATATTTCATTTGAGATTTTTTGTTATCTATAATTTTATTTTTTAGTGTTCATTTATTCCAAAATTTCACATCTCAATAAAAACACGGTATGAAGATAACAATGGATCTACAGAAAATGTATGTAAATGAGCATATGCTTTATACATTAATATAATTAGTTTTGTTATTTATATTACGATTAAAACAGTGTTTAGGGCTTTCTCCCATTGAGTTGATTCATCGTGAAATTGATTTTGTAGACATTGCATATGATGAACTTTCTGCAAAGCATTATAAAGAGGAAGAGGTATTATTATTAATATATTTAGTTTATTTATGTTTAGAAATTTATAGGATTTAAGATTTATATTTTTTATTTTAGGATCCAAAATTTTTCCAATCTCAACGAACTGGTCGTGGACCATTGGTAGAAGGCTGGAAAAATATCACACAACCTATAATGTGTTCTTATAAATTAGTCCATGCTTCTTTTGAAGTTTGGGGCATGCAAACTCGAGTTGAAGATTTTATTCATAGAGTAATTATATAATTTATAACTATAAAATGATTATTAGATTATTAAATATAATTTTTATGTCCGTAGTGTATAAGAGATATTTTATTATTGGGTCATCGACAAGCGTTTGCATGGATTGATGAATGGTATGATATGACACTGGAAGATGTTCGACAGTATGAACAAAAGATGCAAGCCGAAACAAATGAGAAAGTACGGCTCAGAAATCAAAATGAGAAATCAATAACACCTCTCACACCAACTTCATCAGTGCCATCTTCACCATTACCCAAATCTCCTACCAATCGATCATGGTTTTCTTGGTCATAGCCACAATTCTAAAAAAATTAGAGTAATTGATAGCCTATCTAGGGAACGTAATTAAAAATTGTGCAAATAAACATCAGCATTTTCGATTCTGTGTGTGTATATACATATATACTGTGTACATTATAGTCAGGTCACCTGTAACAGGATTTGTAAACCAGAGTTCCTGCTCTATGCTTCTAAATCGTTTTTGTGCAAGGTTATTAAACAAAAGATATTGATTGTCTAAGTAATGTTGAATATTTTTATAGTTTAATATATGTTAAACTATTTTTATTTATATTAATCAGTTTAGAAATTAGTTTATTGAAAGTAATATTTTAAATGAGGAGCAGGTTTTTTATTTTCAGTAGTTACGTTTGTGATTATTTATTTGATATTTGTATTGATTATTGATCATTGATCTAGAATAGAGGAGAAAAATAAAAGATGTAGTCCTCAAATTGTTATAATATATAAACAAGGCTATTAGCGAATCTTTAATATGGCTAGGTATATTGCATCCAAATATATTTGTCGATAGTATATATATCAGCTTAAATATGTATGAAATATTGTAAAAACCAGTGATAGCATTTATCTTAAGAATTATTAAATATTGTAGCAAAATATCGTACACAAAGGATATAAATATGTATGTATGCTTCTCGAACTGCAACTACGAATTTTCATGGCACTACTGAATTGCATTCTTCTTTAATCTTAACGAAGAAACTATAATATTATAGATAGCTATAAAGTTTTTTTTAATTGAAAAATAAATAGATTGTATATATAGAATTATTGCTGCTAAAGCATAATTTTAATTTTTAAAATTTCAAAAAAGAATGTAAAGAAAGAGTACCTATTTTTATTTGTATATTAATATTTGAATATTTTTATTTTTTTTTTTTTATTTAAATTATTTATCTGTTTTCTAAAATTTTCTTGGGACCAAAAATAAAAAAAAAAATTGAAATTGAACAAAATAAAAAAACAAAAATAGATATGCACAAAAATTCATATACAATTTATAACTTTTAGATAGATTGCAATTGCAGCTATACACAGTTGGAATGTGTATATTATACCATGAAAAAAAAAAAATTCGATTTTATGCTTAGGAATTTCACTATTTATTTTCCATTGTTTATGGCACATTTAAAAATTGTGTTCCTATTTAAAAGGATATTTATACTATAGAATATTTAATTTCTTTATTATTATATGTGTATGTATTTAAATAAAAATTTCAAGCAATTTTTCTCAAGAATTAACTATCTTATTGTTTAGTTCACTTACTAGTTATGGTTGATTCAACCTTAAATTCCCAAAATTGTAATAGGTTGCTAAAAAAAGAAACAGATTGAATAAATAATTCGTATCTACTCAAAAGATGAATAAAATCATTAAATTACTTATATCAATCATTTTCAAAAAAGATTATCTTTATAATTTTATTAATTATTCTTCATAAATTTACAAAATTTATTATCATTTTTAGCTTAAAAGCATCTAATTTCATTAATTAAAATAATTATGCAATAGTGTGTAATAACTTTGAGCCAAACTATTAACAATAAAATAATTACCTGAATGAATAATTAGAATGTCGTAAAGAGGACATAATTTTTAATTGTCTTCGAAATCGGCATGAAATTAATAAACTTCAATCTATGAATATATATATATATAAAACTTGTTTCAGGAGATGCTCGATCCAGTTACCCCTTCTCCTCTTCTGTCATTCATTATATTTATCTAGTAGTTCGAATACGGTATCAGAAAAAGAAAAAAAAAACGGTTTTATGCATTGGTTTATCGAGATTTCGAGTTGTTTTTCAAATTGATTTAAAATTCTAGAATATAATTAGTAGAATTATGACGACGAAGAATAATGTTACATCGACACATAAATTTTTTATCTCGTATTTATTTTATAATTTATATAATATTAAAAAGATTTAATCTTTTTAGAAATTTTCTGAGTCATTTAAAAATATATTGATTATTATTAATATTATCAATTATATAATTTTATTATTGCTGAAATTTCTATTTTTTTTTATTTCGTTATCATTATCTTATGTCATAATTGAAAATTTTTTTTTTGATATTAGATTTACTTTATATTTTTTATTATTGAAATTTTACTTATTATTTATTTGTTATTATATATTATTATTTTTTTATTATTTTTGT